CCGGCGCAGTGAGCAGCCTGGAGAGCGGAGGGCCGCCTCAGGTTGGGGCCGAGCCTTCCCTGCTCACCCAATGCCAGGCTTATCTGCTTCCTCCAGAGGCACCCCGCCTGCCCGCCACCCTCACTGCCTCATGCCTGTCCCGATGGGCACTCCTGGCCACCTCACGCCCCCGCAGTGCCAGCCGGGGCTTCTGCTTTCTGAGCCGCCTTTGACCAGGCACCGGGCAGTGTGGCCATGGGTGTGTGGTCTCCCCGCCCAGGAGCAGAGGTCAGCGCTGACAACGCGGGGGCGGCAGGGCCAGCATGCTCTGCTCCCCCGGTCCCAGCTCAGCCTGTCACCTGCACCCTGGGGCCACGTCTTCCCCTGCACGGCATGGAATGGCAGCCTTTCCTCCGCCCGACCGCCCTCTCCCTGCCTTCCAGACTCTGCGGACGCTCACAATGGGAAGCAAAGGAGGGGTCGTCCTGCTGGAGGTCGTGCTCACCCTGGCTGTCCTCTGCCACTTAGGTGAGTGTCCAGAGTCCCGGGCGCCGTCGGGGTGGGCTTCCTTCTCGGTAGGCCTCAGCCTCGGTGTCAGTCCCGGTCTCTATGCAGGCCTGGCCTCGGTTCTTCGGCCTTCCTGGTTCCAGGTCCTGGGCAGGGCAGCTCCGTCCCGTCCAAGGTCACGCCCTGGGCGGGCATCTTCTGACTTACAGTCCGGCCCGGCCCAAGTCCAGGGCTGCGTTTGGCAGGGGAGGAGGAGTGCCTGGCAGGTCACGTTTTACCCTCACCACAAGCGACCTGGGGACACCGTGGCTGCCATCTGAGCCCGTAGCCCTGTCCCGGTCTCTGGGCCTGAGCACGGCGTCACAGTGGGGATGGCGCGGGCCTCTGGCTCCCATGCCAGGCTCTGCTCAAGCCCTTCCACGTCTTTACTCAGCTCCGTGTCGGCCCCCCTGGCGGTGCCCCATTTGACACATGACAGGGTGCAGGTCCCAGAATGTGGAGTAACGTGTAAAATAACACGAAGAAAGGTCACGTCAGAGTGTGAGCCCCAACAGCCTGGCCCTACGGCCTCGTCTTCACTACTGCTCGGGCCACCTCCTCTGGGGTCACCTTCCCCAGGGACACCCTTCCTGGCCCTCCTCACCACCCCTGCCCTCCTCACGGCCAGGCCCTCCTGTTGGTGTCCCATGCCGCCCCCTCAGCATGGCCCTACAGGGGTCTCGTCCCCACAATGTGTGCACTGGCACTGGCCCACCTTTCCGAGGCATTTTCCCATCCTGTCTGGCTGGGGCACATGGGCCAGGGGTGTTTTTCAAGCTGCCTGGGCAGGGATTCGAACTTCAGTCAGTCGTATGGGATCCAATTCCCTTAACCAGCAGGCCAAAAGCTGGCCCTACAAAGATTTTTAACTGACAACATCTACTGTGTAATAACTGAGTGCAAAAATGTAATAATACATCTACCAGCGAGAGGAATGGACTTACTCTTAGAGGGCAAACACTGCTCCAGTGGGTCCAGAACGAGCGGTCCCTCCCGTCTGTCGGCTGTTGTAGTCGTCTGCACTGCCACGCTCATCTCTAGTGAGATGCAGCGTTTTCCGTCCTTGAAAATGTCTTTTTACCCAGAGGGCTACTGCTTAGTTCCGCTCGTCGGTCCTCGAGGGCCAGCGTCCTGGGCACACTGGCTACCCAGAAGGGCGTGGGGGCTCTCCGTGTCCTCTCACGCTCTCCTTCCCACTGTCGCCGCCCTGCACGTGAACCCTTCTGGGCTGAAGGGCAAGAGAGCGTCTCACTGCTCTCAGTGAGTCTGAGAGGGGGAGCCTTCTTCGCACTCGCTCAGCTCCAGAGATGGGCTGCACTGCAGCTGGAGCTCGGGAAGTGGAGACCTCAGGTCTGCGTGGCCAGGGTGGTGGCCGGAAGCCAGAGACCTCTGGTCTGCATGGCCATGGCAGTGGCCAGGAGCCAGAGAGCTCAGGTCTGTGTGATCATGGCGGCGGCCGGGAGCTGACCACAGGCCCGCTGTGTTGGAGGGGGCTGCAGCCTCTGTGCAGGGGCGGGGCAGGGCGGCTACAGGTCCCTGGCGTGGATGGGCGAGGGTGAGGTCACAGGTCCTGGGCGAAGGCAGGGTGGGGGCGGTTACAGGTCCAGGCTGTGCCGGGGCGGTGTGGGCGGTTACAGGCCCCAACAGGCTCCCTTACTGCCCCAGGTTCCAGCCTGGAGTGCTACAGCTGTATGGGGGGGATTTCTCCCTGCACCACTGTCTCCAACTGCACCGCCAATTTCGATGCGTGTGTCACGGTCAAAGCTGGTAAGAGCCTCCCCCTTCCCTGTCTCTGAAGTGCAGGGAGCAGACAGCCTACCCTCTAGTTCTGCACGGACCTCGGACCCGGTCGGATCAGCGCAGTGGGCCGTGCTCCGTTTTTCTTTGTTGTTAGCTACAGAGCATGTGAGTGCTCACCTGAGAGAGAGAGAGAAGCAAGAAGGCGAGAAATCGCCCCAGGATGGCATCGCCGCGGGCCCTTCTCCCCAGTCTCCTGGATTTGGGGCACACATGCACGCCTGGCATGATTTCGAGCTGCCGGGCCCAGGAACTCGGATCTGCCACGTGGGATCCGATGCCTCAACCTTCATGCCAGCGGCTGACCTGCTGTGCAATTTTATGTCATCTCCTCACCTGTGTCCTGGGTGCTCCTTCATTCCTGATAAACGAGGAAACCGAGGCTCGGGTCAACAGCCACCTCAGGATTTGAACATGGATTCCATCTGCCCCCAAAGCCTGTGCTCCCTAACAGCGACGCTGCTGCCGCACAAGCTCAGAGCGTCCCGTGTGCCCTGGGCTGCACCTGGGCACCAGGATGAAGGAGGACACGTCCATTACCATTAGGAGATGGCCCGTCGGGGCATCCAGACGACTTCATGTCCTCCTCCACCTCGTTCCCCGGGGTATCGAGTTCACACGATCCTGAGCTCCGAGGACACGTGAGAGGTTGGAGAGCTCGGGGGGAAGAGCAGAGCGGGCAGCGGGGCCAGGCTCGTGCCCGGACAGCAAGGTGCCCAGGAGTGGGTGAGGCGGGCGTGCTACGAGGAACAAGCCTGTCCGATCTGCTTCTCCAAACTGGTGCCAGTGGCGTGACTAGTGAGGGAGTTCAGGTCTTCTGAGTGTAAGGGGAAAGTGCCCAGACTTCCCTTTTCTTTTTCTCTGAATGAATTATTTATTTAATTTTATTTATCATTAGTATTACTTTTACATTTGCTGTCGGACACATGTGTCCACCAGAGAGAGAGACAGAGACAAAGTGAGAAAGCTAGGTGCCAGTGCTGGGACTTGAACCACCGTCAGCCAAGCGAGAGTCCAGCGCCTTAACCACCCGAACACTTGCTGGCCCCCTTACATTTTGTTTTCTGTTTCTCTTATTGCATGAGAGAGAGCTACAGGGAGAGAGAAGCAGCAGTACAGGAGCCCACAGGGTCCCCGTGCACGCCCACGCCAGCCATGGGCACACATGCACCTGACTCGGGCTTTGGAGGGAAGCTGTCCCTGCCCCCACCATGAGGGCTCGGTCGGAGCGGCTGCGGTCCTGTCTCCGCACTCCGCAGCACGCTCGGTGTCGACTGGTCACAAGTGTCAGTCCCTGTCTGCAAGCTGCTGGGCTTCCCGAATTAACGCTGCGGTCGGGTTACTGCTTTTCAAGGTCTGGAGCTTCTTTACTGTCGCGTACAGCAGTCGCCTGGCCTGGCCCGCAGCAGCCCTGGTACTGGGTCCTGCTCAAGCTAATTTTTCCAAACATGGAACCACACTAGAATGTTCTCGGGAGAGCTTCTCCTGCATTGCCGAATAGTTTAATAGAGTTTTAAATGAAGTTTAAAATATTTTCGTAACAGAATTCATCTTTATGATGATTAAGACCAAAGCAGCCTCAGTCGGTAATGAACATACAACCTGTATTCTTTTTTTTTAAGAGAGATTTTTGCTATAGGGCGCATG